CTCCTCCTCCTCCTCCTCCTCTTCCTCTTTCCCCTCCTCCTCCTCCTCTTCCTCCTCTTTCTTCTTCACATTTTCTTGCTGTGATGATTGGCTTGTGGTTATATATACGCATACATATCTGTTTCTTTTTTTTTTCATTTTTAGTGACAGTTTTCCTTGACTTTTGAAGATTAAAGAATTTTGTTTGTTGGTTTTGCTTTTGATTGCTTGTTTCTCTTATTTCACTTTCTCTCCTTTCTTCTGCTAACAGCCAAATTCTATTCTCTCTTTCTCCCTTTACTTTGCTTTTTTTTTCTATATTTTAAATTATTATTTGTAGCATCACCTGCTACATATTCTCTACTTTCTCTCTTTTCACATTTTGAACATTCTAAACTTTCTTTTACTTTCCTATCACATTTTATTTTCTCATAATAAACTGTGTTTTAAAAACCTTTTAGAATCATTTGGTTTATGTACCTTCTGCCCCCACCATTCATTTGCAGTTATTAGTATGGTATTTGGCACCAGATGAATGGGGGAAAAATGTAGTGGGTTTATTTAGCCATAAAGAAGAATGAAATTATGCCATTTGCAGGAAAATGGATGGAACTTAAGAACATTATGTTAAACAAAATAAACCAGACTCAATGTCACGTGTTGTCTCTCATCTGTGGATGAGAGGAAGAGGGAAAAGAAAGGTGGGAGAGGGCGGAGATCTCATGAAAATCAAAGGGAGATCAGTGGAACATAGGAAAGGGATACATAAGGGAGGAGGAGAGGGAAACAGAAATACTGGGGGTTGATAATGGCCAAATCGTATTATTGTGTCATGTGCATATATGGATATGTAACAGCAAATCCCACCATTATATGCAACTGTAGTGCACCAATAAAAAAAATAACGATGAAGAATTTAAATCATGAAAAAAATAAAGTCAGTGACGATAAATTTCACTTCTCTAGCCTTTATTTCATATTCATCTTTTGGATATATTTTCTCTTTAACATATGGCTTTGAAAACTCATTTTAATTCTTTAAATTATGTACTTTCTCTGTTAGTTTATCATGATTTATTATTGTTTCTGTTGTCACTGCTGATTTTCTTCTTGCGGGTTTTTCCTTACTGGTTAAATGAGTCTTTAGTAGGTCTTACCTCCCTGCCCTGCTGAGCCAGGTCAGCCCTGGATTATAGATGTGCTTATGGTAGGAACTTTGTGTGTTTGGGGCCTCCAAGTTCTCTCTTTGGGTATCATAGACAGAGATGATTGATAGATACAAAACAGACAATAGGTAGGTAGGCATAGATGATAGGTAGGCAGATGTAGATTTAGGTAAAATACAGGTATAAATGTAGATTTGTAGACACTCGTGATTTTTCGGCTCCTCAGCTTCTGGGTAGCGTGAATCTGAGGCTGGGCCTGGCATTTTCATTTCCCAACCAGGTATCTTTATTTTCCACACAGAATCTTCCTGCCTGCCTCCTAAAGAACTGGAGGAGCTTTCTCTGGTCTCTGCTGTGGGTGGGTGCTGAATGTCCCCCACAGGCCCATATGTTAAAGGTTTGGTCCTGCGTGGCCCTAAGGAGAAGAAGTGGACACTTTAACGGGGCCTCACCCAAGGTCTTTGGTTATTGGGGGCTGCCTGGTAGGATCCAGCCCACTACTCCTACTCCTTCTTTCTATGTCCTGGTGATGAGATGGGCAGCTGACTCGAGGAAGTGTCCACACACCACAGTCATGGTGATGAGCCAGTCTTCTCTCAGGGCATGTTGATGGTTTCAGATGTTTTGCTGTGGTGATGGAAAGGTGATGAACACAGTCACATTCACAGTGTGGACAGTCCATCCTTGGCCTGAGGGTGGTGTAGGTGTCCTTCTTCCAGCTGTCAATCTAATCCTAGCCCAATTTATGATAATGGCAACTGCAACCCGCCTGTCAGACTGTCTGCCTGTCCCACCCAGCCCAGGGATGCTGCAGCCCCTGTCTCTGCACCTGAGTTCCTGCTTCCTGCTCTCAGCTTCATCCTCACTCCTCTGAAGCTGCTTCCCTCTCAGTGTTGACACCTACAGATGGCCCTTGATTTCTTTCAATCTCCACTATGAGTTTTAATGCATTATTTATGAGAGTTTTGCATATTGGGGAAAATGTCCACATCTGTAAAATGAGAACAACAGGGCCATTTTCAAAATCAAGGTGACAGTGCATATAAAATATGGAGCACTATACCTGGCTTGTCACTGATTTCTAATGATAACAATGGCAATGATGACAAAGACGGTGTCATCTCCAGCCCCACCTCTCAGACTGTTTCCTCCATCTCTACCTAACAGACACCTACCTATGATACAGACCAGGTATCCCCCATCAAAGAGACCCCCTACCATAACTGTAGCATATAAGTTTCTCTCTTGATCAACAAGATCTTTACAGATGTCAGCAGGATTTCTGCAGACAGCACCGTGGTTTGAAGGTTCCTTTTCCTTGTAAGTGCCTGGTTTGCAGACTAAAGTTGTGGTGCAGTCTGTCTCAAAGAGAGCTTGTTGCTATGCTACAGATACTATCTGTTTTCTTGGTAAAAACTTGTGAAACCTCTGTCTAGCCTAACCCATTGTCATGTAAACACCCCACTGAATATAAATCCAAAAGAATTTCCAGACTCAGGGTCCAAAGATGCTTAGGTATTAGCCCTTCTGGACTGCTGTGGCTTAAATAAACCTACTCCCTGAAAATTCTTCGGTGTCCCGCCTCATCTGTCCAACATCACCTACTTTTCAGGAGTGTCTTGAAAAATGCCCCTGGACCCTCCCATGAATTAGTCACTGCCCCTGGTTTCTTGCAGCACCTTCTGTGAGCTTGGTCTGTACAGCTTGGACGTTTCTGTGAGACGTGGTAAAGTAAGTCTCTGACATGACACTGACAGCCCAGGGCATACCTGTCAGCCGAGCATGTTCCCCGGGAGCAGGATCTGGTTCGCAGTCTTTGCGCTGCTTCCAAGCCACCCCCAGGGCCTTTTCTCTGCTGGTCTTCACCTGTCCACCTCCTGGCGATTTTCTACTCTTTACTCTGTGAGGCTGGGTTCCTCTCTTTCGCCTACTCCTTTACATTTTCTCTGTGTTTTCTCCTTGTTTTTACCTCACAATGCAAGTGCTATTTCAGGAGGTTATTATCCCTCACCCTGCTTTAAGGACTGGAATAATGGGGACCTTGCAACACTTAAGCTATGAAATGACCTGTCTGGTTTCAACATGCATTTGGCTCAATTGAAGCAATGGTGAGCCATGGTGATAATAAAAACAAAACCAACTCCGATATTGAAAAGTCCTTGAAATACATCCACGTCATTCTTATTTTACATGGGTTTTGCCTTTTTACTTCATGACTCTTACTTTTATTGAGACAGGACATCAGTACATCCATGGTAGGTGCAGTAATTGAAAACAGAGATCCAGGCAGCAAGTGAGATTCCTCATCCTCAGCACCCTTCACTCCAGTCCAGGGAACAGACATTCTCTTGGTGTTAGCTGAAACACAGACAGCCCAGGTTCTTGCAGAAGATACTGCAGATCCACATTATTTCCATTTCCTTTATTTATCTGAGGCCTATAAAGATTAATATGAAACATTAATTAGTCAAATTGACTACATATAGCTTTTATTACAACCGAATCTTGACTCACAATCAATTCATTGCTTTTGATTCAAAAAGCTGAAGGATGCTTTAGTTTTAAATTTACAAGGACAAGTCTTGGCCAAAGGAAACAGCTGCTAGAAACTCAGCCAGATGTGGCCCTCTGGTGGCTGTGCTTGGGAAATGCGGCTCCCCTCCTCTAGTTGGCAGGGCTCTGTTGAATCCAGCCATTCATTGTGTAGGGTGCCTGTAATCACATCCAACCAAAGACCTAAAGCAGAGTGGTTCAAGAAGAGAATCCTGAGGTGAGTGGACCAGACCTGCTGTCACTATTTCCAGTGTGTGACCACCTACAGAGGAGAGAAAATGCTAGAATTCCTCAAGGACATTACATTCAATGTGCTGAAGAAACATAGGAGGAGCCAGGGCTAAGGAGGAGGGAGAGGAGAGGAGGTGGAGAGGGGGTGAGGGGGAGAGGAGGACCTGAGGCTAGGGAGGAGGAAGAGGAAGAGGGGTCAGAGCTAAGAAGGGGAAGGAGATGGAGGAAGAGGGGCCAGGTTGGAGTGGGGAGGGCTGGAAGAGGATCCAGGATCCCTGCAGAGGGCACCCAGAGAGAGCTCACAGGTCTGTTTAGGGGAAGTTGCTGGGAAGGGTTCTTTTTTCTTTTCTTTCTTTTTTAAAAAATTAATCTCATCTTGAGTGGGTAATCATGTACCTTTTTAAAAATTTTTTTCCTTTTTTGATTTTTTTCCTTATTCTGTTTTATCCCTGTTTTTCTTTTTTAAAAAAATAGAATTGAAATTCACATAGCATAAAATTAACCACTTAAAGTACAGCATTCCGGGGCATTTATGACACAATGTTTTCTACCACTGTTGTAGGGACAGATGAGGCAAGGCACTGAAGATAGCAGGAAATAGTTTTATTTGGCTGCAGCCAGGTTCAGAGGGCACAGCTTTTGCTGTAATCAATCAATCCCCTGAATCCTGAGTTCAGGTATTTTCAGAGTTTTATACCCAGCATGTAAGGGGAGGGACTCAGAAGTTCACAGTCTGCAGAAGTTTACATAAAAGCAGCTTTTTCTTTCACTGTTTTGGGCAAGTTAACCCTTCAAGAACAACACCTGAGAAGGGGAGAGCTTCTTCTCCCCTTTCTTTCCTCCCCCTGCCAGCTGTTACCATGGAGCCCAGTGGGTAACTTATCTTAAAAATGTAGTCATCTCTGTGAAGCCCAGCTCAAGGCCAGAGGCCTTGTTTGCACATTTCTACAAGCTACTGTACTGGATATATTTGTGAAAACTAGTAAGGGGGTGTCCAGCACCTGGAGTGCTGGTATCTTATCGGCCAGTGGCCAAGTAAAACAGGGCAACACGAAAATAGGAAGTTTTTCTACATTGAACTCTTTTGTAGAGACTCTTTTGCTGACAGTCCTAAAGTCAACTACGGTGAAGATTTCCAGAGAAGCCCAGTTAAGACTCTTCTGTGGAGAAAGAGGGTGCCACTTTACCATCTCTGATTTCAAAACATTCTCAGCATGCTCAAGTAAAACCTCCAAACCACAAAGCAGCTGCACTCATTTCCACTTCCACCTCCTGCCCAGTCCCAGTCCTTGACACCCAAAATTAATTTTTGTTGGCTTTCTGCCTCTGTCCTTCTCTCTCCTTCTCCCTCCCTCTCTCCCTCTCACCCCCATGTCCCTCTGTCTCCCTCCCACCCTCCCCCATATCTCTCTCTCCCTCCCTCTGCCTCTGTCCCTCTCCCTTCCTCTCCCTCTCCCTCCCTCCCTCTCTCTCTCACCCTCTCACCCCCAATGTCCCTCTCTCTCCCTTCCACCCTCCCCCTCCCCCATGTCCCTTTCTCTCTCCTTCCCACTCCCTCTCCTTCTCCCTCCCTCTCTCCCTCTCTCCCTTCTCTCCCCCTCTCCCATGTCCCTCTCTCCCTCCCTCTCTGCCCCTCCTCCTCTATCTCCCTCTCCCTCTCTCCTTCCCTCCCTTGCCTCCCCCTCCCTATCTATCTTCTTCTCCCTCCCTCTCTCACTCTCCCTCCTCCCCTTCCTATCTCCCTCTCTCCTCCTCCCTCCCTCCCCTTCCTCCTCTCCCATCTCCCTCTCTCTTCCTCTCTCCCACTCACTGTTTCTCTCCCTCTACTCATCTTCCTCTCGCTCCCTCTCTCCCCTCCCCCTCCCCTTCTCCCTCTCTCTTCCTCTCCCCCTCACTCACTGTTTCTCTTTCCCTCTCTCTCCCTTTCCCTATCTCCCTCTCTCTCCTTCTCTCCTTCCCCCTCCCTCCCTTCCCCCTCTCTCTCCCTCCCTCCCCTTCCCCTCCTTATCTCCCTCTCTCCTTCTCCCTCCCTCTCCTTTCCTCCTCTCCCCATCTCCCTCTGTTTCTTCCTCCCCCCCACCCCCCACCCCCACAACTCTTTCTCCCTGGACTCACCCCTTCTGATCACTTCATGGAGATGGAGTCCCACAGATGATGGTGTTGAGTTTGTGGTCTTCCTGCCTTAGGACTTCAAGCCTGGTACCTAAGACACCTGTGTCTGGGCAGCTTTTGCTGGAGGCTCTGCACCACAGTGAGCCCCTGCTCAGCAAGGAGCACCCTCCCTGGGCCTTCAGACAGATTTCCACTCCATAGAAAGAATGGTTCCCAGTCTCTCTAGATGTTGCTGGCACTTAGCCCTTCACATCTGCTTCTATCACAATTTGCTCTGCTAATCTTGGGAGCACGCTGTGTTTCCTTAAATGTAAAATTTGTAAATGGTATATAAAGTGACACTTATCCCTGGGGTGTCAAGTGATGTTTGGGTGCATGTGTATGCTGTGCCATGTTTGAACCAGGGGAGCAGGTCTTCTCAGTTATTCACCACCCTTTCTGCTAGCTTCTAAGCACCAACTGTGCCTCCCCACCCCTCTGCCCTGCTCTCCCCACAATGGATGCCCTAGGCCCTGAGCTCCCACGTCTGCTTGAGACCCTGCAGGGCTGGTTTTGTGTGCCAGTTCTGGTCACTTGGTATGAGGATCTCTGGTTCCATCCATGTCAACACAGAGGACAGGACCTCTTTCTTAGATGGATGAGTGTCTCCTGTCCTGTGAAGTCTCCACATTTCCTTTAGCCACCCATCTGCTGGATGCCTGGCTGCTTCTAGGTCTGGCTGCCATGAATAGGGCTGCAGGGAGCATGGCAACCTGGTGCCTCTCAGGCATACCATCCCATGTCCTCTACACCTATGTGGAGTGGGTTGATGGATCTCTGGTGCTTCCGCTATAGGAACCTCCCTACTGTGCTCCCTAATGACGGCACTGGAGCACTCTAGGTGGTCAGGACCCAAGCCCTCCTTCCCAACTCTGAAGGACAAGTGAGAGAAGTTGCCTGGTGAGAGCCACTCACAGGACCACATAAACAAGGTGTGATCCTTGTGTTTCTACCTGAGAGGGGACAGCTGACTTACAAGAGAAGGTTCCTCCTGAGGAGGTAGGGAGGCATCAGGGGCTTAGACTTTCTCAGCAGTAAGTGAGCACCTCAGAGCCCCTAACACCTCTGTTGGGTGAAACCAGATACGCCCCCCCTCGATGCCCAGGCAGCCTTCCCAGTGGCTCTTCTCCCACCAAACCTTTCAGGGGTGTGTGAGGCTTGAGGGGAGAACAGGCAGAACAAGGGGGTGGGGGCAGGCCTTACAGCGGTGAAGGGAACCCAGTGAAAGATCTGCAAGCAGCCCAGGGAGGACAGACTCCAGGACACACAGTCTCAGCGACTGGGAAGCAATGAGGAAGGGTGTCTCCAGGGACAATGCCAGAATCAGACCGAGGTCACCATGATCTGGAGAACTTTCCCGAAGGAACTGCAGCCCTCGGCAGCTCTGAAGGTCTCCAGATAACCATGGAGCTTTATCTGAACTCTCTGGCTCTGGAGGTTGGCTGGGCTCCCAGCCTTGGCGATCTGAGCCCCTCCTTAGGGCTCCTGGTGGCCCCAAGCTGGTCCTGCTGGCCATCTTCCAGGGGCCGTACTTGATCTCAGACTCTTCCCTTATCTCCTGCTACCAGCATCTTCATCCACCTTCAGGACTCTTGGCCACACCCCTGCCTGTTGGAATCTGTTGTAGCTGCCAAAAAGGCACAGTTGATTATTTTTGCGAAAAGTAATAAGGGCTCTGCAGAAGCTCTGGAGCTTGGCGCTTCCTCGGGATCTCCAGGCTCTCTCTCTGATCACTACTTGGAGACATTGTCCCTGCCTGGGATTTGCCAAGAACCAGGCTGATCCCCTCAAAGTCACCAAGATGTCCCCAGGAAGCAGGGCAGCTGCATCAGAGCAAGGTGAGTGTCCTCTGTGTAAGGCCCTCCTGGAGTCTTTGCCTCCTCACTCTCTCCCCATGCTCGGGGGGCACAGAGCCCCATGGGCTTTCCTCCAAGGCAAGAGCCAAACTTCACAGGCCTCCCTGTTCATCCAGACATAAGAGCAGACCCCGTGAGGCTGTGTCAGAATCCGCCCAGGATGACAGAAGGCTTCCACACCCCTGCTCTCCCAGTCAGTTCAGGACAGCCAGCAACAGTGGCTGAACTCCTGTCAGGAGGGACCATGTCCTGCACCCAGCTGTAGAAGTCCTGTAGGACAACAGGCGAAGGGGCTTTTGGGGGGGGGGGGGCTGTTGTCATCCATCTGACCTCAGATTTGCCTGGTGGGAATTTGGGTTTTTCCACATACCTTCTGGTGATTGGTGGGTGTAAAGAGCTACTTACTGGGTGAAAACCCTCACACGAGCAGGAGAATAAGGCCTGGGATATCTCCATGGCATTCTGCAGGGGGTGCACACAAGAGGAAGGCGACATGAGAGAAAGGGTCGTTGGCCTGCTTGCTGGCTACATGTGGACCTGATGGACCACCTCTCTCTGCCAGGGCAATTTCCCCTTCTTTCCTATGAGAAGGGGGCTTCTCTCCCTCCACGTTCAATGCACGTCCCACCTCATGTGTCTCTGTCCCCAACAGGGATGGCAAAGACACGCTGTGGACGTGCATCTCTACTGTGCTGCACTGTTGCCTTCCTCTTCCTGCAGCTCCCACCTCCTGGAAATGGTAGGAAGTCTCCCTTGCCAGCTCTGGAGGGCACCAGGAGGGACATTCCCAGGTGGGGACGAGCTGAGGTCTCACTGAGACCCAGGGTGGAGGGACAGGCCAGCTGAGGCCTTGCTGCAGCGCAGGGTTTAGAGGACACTTGCACCCTCAAAGGCCTTGTGGGGTAGGGAGCACCATCTCCCTACACGAGGCCTGACCCCATCCTCGTGGATCTGTCTCCCTAAGGAAGAGCTGATTTCCAAGTCCAAGGGCCTCATGCCCCCGTGCTGGCCCTGGTGGGGGAAGATGCAGAGTTGTCATGTCAACTGGTCCCCAGCATCAGCACTGAAGGCATGGAGCTGAGGTGGTACAGGAACCAGTCCAGCCCAGCTGTACTCGTGCACAGGAATGGGGAGGACGTGCATCAAGAGCAGATGGTGGAGTATCAGGGAAGGACGAGCTTTGTGAGTGACCATGTAGCCAGGGGCGAGGCCACACTGAGGATACATAACGTCACTCTGTTTGACAACGGCACCTATCACTGCCTCTTCAAGGAGGGCACTTCCTCCAACCAGGCCACACTCTGGCTGACGGTGGCAGGTAAGGGCAGCATGTGGCCATCTGCCCTGCTGGGGAGCTTCCTCACACCTGGCCCCAATCCTGGCGGTGTGACCAGAGTCCTACAGCTTGAGAACCTGCTGGACACACAGTCCCAAGCAAGGCCACCCGAGGGTCTGCACATCACTGCGCTTCTCAGGGAACATAGTTCTGGAAGCACAGCTGTTTTCTGATCTTTCCCTTTACTATATTATGGCACTGATAAGAGGGAAAGACGGGGGAGCTGAGGCAGGCTGAGAAGGAGGGCATGGAGGGACAAAGGCATTTGGGGTACAGTTTTCCTGGGTGGCTCAGGGCTGTTCTTTGGAGGCAGGCCAGCAAGCTCCTTCTTGTTCCCTGCACTCACTCACCTGTGTGACACGGGAACCCCTTCTGTCTTGCTGAACTGTCCCTGCCCCACTTTGCTATTTTATCTAGGACAAAGGCGTACCTGTTAGGGATGCGCTTACTTCAGGGAGTGATGGCTTGTGAACAGTTGGTAATACACACTAAAGTCTTCAAGATGTGTTTGAATGGAGCAGCTGTGGTGGCAACGTCCCAACTGATGTTTCTCCTCCAGGGCTGGGCTCAAAGCCCAGAGTGCAAGTGGTGGATGACCAGGGCACAGGTATCCAACTGAAATGCACCTCAGCGGGCTGGTACCCAGAGCCCTTGGTGGAGTGGAGAGACCTCAGAGGACAGCCAGTGCCTGCTGTGACCAACTTCTCACTGTCGGCCACCACGGGCCTCGTGGCTGTGGTATCCAGGGTGACCGTCCAGAATGGGGCTGTGCAGGGTCTGTCCTGCTCCATTTCCAACCCCCTCCTCCCCAAGAGGAAGGGGGCTGAGAGCTGGCTACCTGGTGAGTGTCTGTTCAGCCCTGACAGCACAGTACTGAGACCTGTGCCAGGACTCCAGGGTTCCAAGTAAGATCTGGTGGGAACTGGTCCCTGTGCACAGCCTGGCAGAACTCTGGGGATGCAGATTTAAGTAATTGCTGAGGATGGGGCAGAGATGGGGTACAGGGAGAGTACCAGGGGAGCTTTGCATTTATGTGGAAACAAGAAGTTTCACCCCCATGTTGTTTTTGTAATTCTTAACTCTTTACAAAATGGGCTATTTTTAGAGCAGTTTTAGCTCACAGCAAAGGTGAGCAGAAAGTGCATAGCTCTTCCATATACCCCCAACATGTGTAGCTTTCTCAATACAAAAGTCCTGCCCCAGAGCAGATTTCATTACCACCCGGCACCCACAATTTACATCTGGGATCACTCATGGAGAGCCCCCCCCATTCTGACCTCAGCACCATGTACGCTAATACAGAACTTCTGTTCTCAGTTCCTATGTCCTCAGCTCCCCTCTCCAGGTCTCCTCTCACAGAGTGGCAACTAGCTCTGTCTCTGGCCCTCGCTGCTCTGGGATTCCTGGTCTCTGGAGTACTCTGCTGTTTAGGGAAGCAGCAAAAGGAAAGTTCCCAGACACTGCTAGAAGAAACAGAGCAAGAAGAAACAGCACAGAGGTCACAAGCCAGCAGTACCAAGGCTGAGCTATCCCACGGTGAGTAGGAGGCTTAGCAAGACACGTGATGCCCCTCAAGCATGGGGCCTCAACACGCAGCCCAGAGCAGAGGCTGTCTGTCCTCAAACCCAGCAGGAACAGAATGATCAGTAGGGATCCCAACTCCAGAGCTACCCATATGATCCACACAGTGGAAACCCTTATCTCTGAAGGAGTCTTCACTACATAATCCGGGCAGCCTGGTTGGTCTTCCCAAATACCCAAGGCTGGGTGATATATGAAGAAAAGAGGTTTCCTTAGCTCCCAGTTCTGGAAGCTGAAAGCTCACTCGGGGCCTGGGGAACCTGTCCCTAGCCTCAGGCTCCTGTGTTGGAAGTAGAGATTGTCCCCTTGCTGGCTGTCAAGGCTGTGTCGTGACAGACTGGGGAAGGCTGAAGGGCGGCTGTGGACAGTGGTCCTTGGCAGTGAATGCCTCCCTGTCGTGTCACTAGGCACCAGGCACAGTCTCCAGCTCTCATCTCCAGTGACACTCTGAGAGGAGCCCTGTGAGGCAGACTAGAGGCTGCAGTACCCAAGTTCAGCCCCATTTCATAAGCAGGGCCCCACAGTATAGGGTCTTTTTGTTTCCCTGTGGGTTAGAGAGTGTGACTTCAGGTACAGCCTCCAAACCTCATGCATTTGTAGACCAAAGATCCACCCCTGACCAGCTCCCCACAGGGAGAAGACCCAGAAGCACAGACCTGAGCCCATCTGGCAGGGATGAAAAATGACTAGTGACATCAGGAGACCCTGAAATCAGAGCTAGTCTCAAAGAAAAAGAAAAGGGTAGGATTCTTAGTAGCTTATGGGTCTTGTTTTCTGACCCTCACCCACTCTCACATGACAGAAATAAGAAATTCCAAGGGGGTGGTGAGAGAGGGACACACATGAGGACGTCTCTGGCTTCTGTCTGCTTTCTGATGTTCATCCCCACATGTATACACAGACCACCATGTCTGTGCATGAGTGTATACATATATGTGTGTCCACACATGTGTGTATATGCATGTGTACAAGCATTAGTGCCTGTGTGTGCAGTTTTCATGTGTGCTTGTGTGTTTGTGCACACATATGTGCATGCAGGCGAGTGTGTTCATGTGTGATGCATGTCTTTGGTTTGTGTGTTTGCACATATGTGTTCACATTGGTACCTGCATGAGTGGGTCATGCATGTGAGTGCATGCCTTTGCAATCATGTGTGCATGCATGTGTTATGAAGGTGCACATATGTACGTGTGAATGCACGACGTGTCCATGCATGTGCATCCAATTTCATCTGTGTGCCTGTGTGCACTGTCTTGATGTGTCAGTGTATATGCATGTGTGTGTACATTTGTGTGGTATGTGTATGTGTGTTGTGTATGCATGTGCATGTGTGTATGTATCTGTGAGGTGCATGCTTATGTCTGTGAATGTATTTCTGGATGTTTGTGTGTGTGTGTATGTGTGTGCATTCATGTGTCTATAAGAGATGCTTACGTCTGTTCCAGAGAGCAGAAGCACTGTGTCAACTGCTGATGCCACATCCTTATAAGTCAGACTTTAGCTGCCCCAGGAGACCTTAGTTCCTTTCTGAGCTCCTGGGAGAGGGAGGTGTGCTGACAAAGGCATCCTGCATGTGGCAGATGCTGGGAGGAGGCTGTTTTTTTAAGACTGGGCACCCAGGGGAGGCCATTACCATGACAGTGGAGAAACAGTGACCTTCCATCTCCGGGCACAATCTCCTTAGTGAGGACTGAAGAGCAGAGAGGTGGGAAGGGAGAGCCAAGGCTGCTGGGCATCAGAGAGTGATTGGAGGACTGGAGACATCTGGGAACTGAGGATGTCCCACAGATTTCATGATGGCATTTAATAATATTGCATCCATGTTAGTATTCAGGTTTTGGTGTATTGCATTCTCTCTCACTTCTCTGCATTGCTGTCTCTGTCTCTGCATTACCATCTCTGTCTCTCTCACTATCTCTGCATTCCTGTCTCTCTCTCCATCTCTGTCATTCACACACAGACACTAGCCACAAAGGAAGCCCAGGGCACATGTTGGGAACTAGCAGGGCCACACTGGGTGTAGTCGTGCCCACAGCTCCCAGGAACCCTTCGGCTCTGCCTCCCAGTCTGGTGTGCTCCTCTGCCAGGGAACAGGCTGTTTGGACAGGCTTTTGGCACAGGACTGGGACAGTAGTGGGATTCTAGAGCAGGGGACACCCTGATGTAGGAAACAACCCTGGGAGCCCTGGTCTGCAAGGAACATAGGGTGCAGACCCACTGACCCTCTCCTCTTTCCACAGTGAGCCCCTCACTGGACCCTGACACAGCAAGTCCCAAACTCATGGTGTCAGAGGATCAGAAAAGTGTGAAGAGGCTGATCTTCGACCAGTACCTGCTCCCCAACTCCAAGAGATTTGACCAGGACCCCTGTGTCCTGGCCCAAGAGCGGTTCTCGGCTGGGAGATACTACTGGGAAGTTGAGGTGGGAGACAGACAGGCCTGGATTCTGGGGGTTTGCCTGGAGAACTTAGGTCGAGAAGGCTGGATTCCCAAATCCCCCCAGCATGGCATCTGGGCAGTGGAGTTATATAAGAAGAGATTCTGGGCTCTCTCCTATCCAAGGACTCGCCTCTCTCCTTCCCAGCCCCTCCGACAGCTGGGCATCCTCCTAGACTGGGACGCAGGGGAGATTTCCTTCTACAATGCCACCAAGGGGTCCCTGGTCTACAGGTTCTCTGGACTATCTTTTTCTGCCCCCCTGCAGCCATTCTTCTGCCTCTGGACCCATGATCCTAGACCCCTGACCATCTACTCAGTGGCCAGAGAGACCCAGGAAGACACAAGCCCCCCCTGGAAGCCTGTCCTTTCCCCCAGAGGTCCCGGAGACTTCTGCTGAGGGAGAACAGCACCCATGAGCCCTGGCTTCTGCCTCCTGGTGAAATCAATCAGATTCTGTGTGCATGAGGGCAGTGTCAGGGCTGGCTTGCTGCCTTTCCCAAATCCCTATGCTTAACTCCTAAGCCCAGGACCTCAGAATGTGACTGCCCTTGCAGATGGGCCTTCAAGAGGAAATCAGTGCCTTCATGTGAGTGGCCCTGATGTCACAGATCTGATGTTCCTGTGAGAAGAGATCGGGACCCAGGCACACGCAGGGGAAAGCCTGTGAGGACTCAGACAGGCACTCTCACAAGCCACAGATCTGGCCTCAGAAGGAACCAAGCTGCCCACACCCGGTCTCAGACCTCAGCCTCTGGAAGTGAGAGGAAAGGGCTTTCTGCTGTGTAAATCACTCCATCTGCAAACTTTGTGATGGCAGCTCTGCTGTGATAAAACCACACCATTATCAGCTCAGCATTGTCTACTTCTGCCACGTACCCGGGGGCATATGTAAAATATCCAGCTCGTGTTGGACAGGTAGTAGTCACACAGTAACTGCCAGCCTTCCCCTCCTGTCCTCCCCCTCCTCCTTCTTCATCATCTTGGCCATTCTTCTCTCCTTCTCCTCCTCTCCTCTCTTCCACCTCTCCCTCCTCACCTCTGCTCCCTACAGCAATCACTCAGACATCTGGTCTACCTCAAGTCCCTTCCTCCCTCTCTGTGAGAAGTCAGAACAAGCCAAAGATTCCTGGGCATTGGTCAGCGTTCAGCCAGGACTGGAACCACATAAGCCATTTGGCAGAGAGAGTAGACTAGAAGCAAGTGTCAATGAGGCACTGAAGAACCCAGGAGATCAGAAACAAGGAAACATGGGAGGAACGAGCTGCCAACTACCATGGCTGAGGGCAGAGGGGAGAGAGAACAAAGGAAGGCACAGAGGTGCTGCTCAGGACACCCAGGCCAGTGGGAATGCAGTCTGGCCAGGTGCCATGCTGCTGGGTGGCCCTGAGAGGGACAGGCTCGACTGTGTTTAGCCATGACCCTCCTCCTGCTGCCAGTGGCAAAGCCCACCAGGCAGCAGTGGGGGGTGAGCTTTTGGAGCCCAGCCCACTGTAGGAGGCCTGCCGTGTGCCCTGGGGCTGCTGCAGAGCCAGACACGGGGCTCAAAACAGGGTCTGTTCTTCCCAGTTCTGAAGCCCAACTTTGAAATCAAGGGTCAACAGAGCTGGTTTCCCCTGGAGGCTATGAAGAGAATCCAGGCTGGGCTCATTTGCAGCTTCTGGGGCTGCCAGTCTTCCTTGCCTCATAGAACTGCTGCTCCGAGCGCTGCCTCTTTCGTCACACCACTGACTTCTCCCTGTGTTTCAAATCCCCTGGCCTTTCTCTCAAAAGGACACGTGTCGTTGGCATTAGGACTCACCTCATGCAGGGTCATCTCTTGTTGAGGTTCCTGCCTTCATTACTTCTGCAAAGACGTTTGCAGATGAAGTCCTGTTCTCAGAAGCCAGGGGTCAGGACCTGGACATGTTTGGGGGTCCTGAGTCCACCCAGAGTTCTGGCCAGATGATTGGCACACTGTTCCACGTGTTGGCACCTCCTCAGAATGGCAGGGACGTGTAGTGAGCAAGGGCCCTGAAGGGATCTGTAGATGTTTTGAGACACAAGTTCTTCACACAAAAAAAAGGAACTCCTAGTGCTCTAGGTTTGTAATCCAGAGCACAGACGTGGATTACCAGTGGAGAGGCCAGACAGTCCAGGGAAGCAGGGGTCCAGACTCAGCCTTTGGGAGAGGCCAGGATTTGTATGGACAGGAATAGGAAGGGTGACATAAAAGTCCATCTCCCTGCCCTCCTCATAGCCCTCTCACTCGACCTCAGGGTAAAGCCTTTCTTAACAATGTTCTTCTCTTATGAGTGTGATGCTTGTATGCAGTGAGTGTGCTGGTTCTAAGGGCACATGCTAGTGGATTTGGTCACAGCATACACTGATGCTATGGCACCATCAAGAGACTAGACATTTCCTCAAGTCTGGTAGAAATGGAGCCCCTCTTCCACTCCCACCCCTGCCAGTCCTGATCTGCCCTCCACAGCTCTAGTTGTCTTTTAATTATCTTTGGTCTCACTTTGGAATATCCATTACATTTAGTGACATCATTCATCCACCAGTTTTCCTGATTTTTCTGACACAGCTACGTGGTGTTCCCTTCACCCCATGCTGGAATTTCATGGAAGCAGACCCTGCGTTTGTCCATTGGACTCCCATGGAAGTCCACTGTCCCCTGTCATACAAGACACCTGTGGCTGTGAGACTTGTAAATAAGAGGCTCCTGAAACTCTCAGTGCAGAGACGGTGGTCCACACAGCATGGTGCTGGCTCTGGGGGACTCTCTGGCCTCATTCTATCTTGGTGGGTGGCATTGAGACAGAAAGAAAGACCACCCACAGGCAGCCAGGAAAAAGGTCTTGGAGAAGAAAGGGGGAAGAGAGAATTGGGAAGTTGAGCTTCTGACTCCAGCTACTTGTAGCCTCAAGGATAGCTCCTTAGCCCCTAGACAGGACCAGCCATCAATGGTACTTTCTCCTGCAACAGAGCCTCACTCCAATTCATGTGCTGATTAAGGCTTAGAGATCACTTTTCTCCAGATTTGCTGAAGAAGGCAAAATAGAGTTGATTGCCCCCTTTCTGAATCCTCTATTCCACCAATCATCTATAAGGACAGACCAGCCCAGAAAACCAGCCCAGATAGCCGACATCTGTGGACACCCCTCTCTTGGGACCCCTCCCCTTTTGGAGCCCTGCTTGCTTCCTATTTCCCTAATAAATCCTGTTAATTTTCTCTCACCCTTGTGTCTGTGGATTTCATTCTTTGAATTCATGAGACAAAGAACACACCTGACATCCATGTTCCATGTTACAGCATCATACCAGGAGCCATGTGAGAGGAGAGAGGCTCCTGAGACAGGAACCCTGTGGGAAGGGCAGGCTGGCCGCTCTCCAATGGCAACTTGCTCTTGTGGGGCTAGGTCAGTGCAAGCACCCATTTTCCCTTCTGAGGGCTTAGCCCAAGGACCTCAGCATCTTCCACCAGGCCCCACCTCTCCAAGGACCTCTCACCTCCTGGCTCCCACCCTGGAGCCAAGCTTCTAGCACGTGACCCCTGGAGTCACACTCAAACCCTGTCCACAACATAACAACTTCCCTCCCTCAACATAGCCCTTGAGATTCACCCATGCTGTTGCCTGTTGCAGAATAAAATCCATCACATTCATCACTGAGTAGTTTTTTGAGTTGCCATCAGCCATTGGGTATGGTAAGTAACAGCGTCACAGGTCCACATACAGGTTTCTATGCAGATTCATGCTTCACTTCTCTCAAATACTCAGGAGATGACAGTTGACATTTAATTTGACAGGAGATGGCCACGCTGTTTTCCAGCATGGGTGCAGGGCCTTACCTTTTCACTAGCAGGCACCAGAGTCCTGCGTGCTCTGATTCCTGCCTGCACTGCAGTCATGGTGGCCCGGATCTCGACCCTAACTTTACCTGAGACGCTGCATGTGTGATTTGGTCCTCAGTGGGAATGCAGTTTGTTTCCTCTATTGACATCAGGTCTGAGGGCTTGTTCCTGGGCTTATGAAGATCCATATATCCTCTCAGCAGGATGTCTGCTTCCGTTATCTGCCCATGGCTTAGCACTGGGTTCTGTTTCTGCATGACCAGATTATAAGAACTCCTCATGTGTTCTGCATACGAGCCCTTCACTGAATCTGTGTTCTGTAAAATGTTCTGGCACACTGTGGCTTGTCTTTTTGTTTCCTTAATTATTCATCTAGAAAGGTGGGCTGGGGAGGGAAAGGGAAGGTGTTGGTGCAAGAGTATAAACTTTCAGTTATAAAATGCAGAAGCTCTTATCATGGTCTGGACTGGGACTGTCCCCCAAAGTCCCTGTGTGGAAGGCTGCTCCCCTGTGGCAGTGTGCAAGGTGGGCCATGAGGCCTGGGGCCTCGCCTGGGTGGGCCTGTGCATGGCCTCCTGACAGTGGACTACTGGGAGGTGTGGCACCACAGGAGATGGCCTCGCGGATGGAGCAGATCACGGGGTGTGCCTGGAAGGCTGCCTCTTGTCCCCATGCTGCCACTCTCTCTCCGTCCTGATCCAAGCTCAGCAGTCTTGCTCCACCATGTCCTCTGGCCATGATGTGCTGCCTCACCACAAGCCACATGATGGAGCCGGTGACCATGACAAAGACCTCTGACACCATTTCAGTTGTCTATCTCAGGTATTTTGTTAAAGCAATGAAAACTGACCACTGCTCTGGTGGCCTAACATAATGCTGCACAATGACCCTGGTTAATAACAATGTATTGTGTCCTCAAAATTTGCCAAGAAAGTATATCTTAGAACTGTGTGATGTGATAGGTATGTTAATTAGTTTGTGATAATCATTTCATAATTATACATATAAATATATACATATACATCAAATCATTAGTGTGTGTATCTTAAATATATACAATCTTTTTTATTTTTTAATTTGTTCTAATTAATTATAGATGACAGCAGAATGCATTTCAACTCATTGTACACAAATGGAGCACAACTTTTCATTTCTCTCGTTGTAGAGTCATTCCATTCGTGCAGTGATACCCATACATAGGGTAATAATGTCTGTCTCATTCCACGTCTTTCCCACCCCCATACTCTGTCCCCTCCCCTCACACCCCTTTGCCCAATCCAAAGTTCCTCCATTCTTCCCTTGATTCCCCCCATATATAATCTTTCCTTGCCAATTGTACCTAAATACATCTGGAAAAATAAAATAAAATTGCACCATATACTGAAAAAAAATGGCAAAAGCCCTTTTGTTACCAAACTCACCTTGGAGGTTCATCTCACATTAAAATCAATGTCTCAGACACTAGCATTGGAGAACAGGAAGGGCGTTAGCGGCCAGAGAGTGGAGAAGAAAGTGCTCTGCTAACCAATTAGCTGCTCAGCTGCAGGTGTGGAAGGCCACAGGTGCAGGAAGGGAGGGACTGGCTAATGGCTCCAGGTGCCCAGGGCCACAGGTGCAGGAATGGCAGGAAAAGGTAGGCTGATGGCTCCAGGTGTCAAGGGGCACAGGTCCAGGACAGGAATGGCAGGCAGCAGCAGGCTGGAAAAGGGAGAATTGTGTCTCTTTTCTGGAACTCTGTACCGCCTCTTTCTCACTCTCGTGGCTTGATGATTTCACTCATGGTGCTGGGGTGTCTTTAGCCTTGAAGTTTAGGGAGAGAGAGCCTGGGCAAGTCTAGGGCAGAACATTTCTGGACAACAGGTCTACATGCAGAGCAGAGCAGAGCAGAGCAGAATCTAACATAAAGGTGACCAAGCACAGGATATGAAGACAGAGAGGCCATGCCCTTTCCTCCCACCTATCAGACAGCACCATACCATGAGGGGTTAGGGTTTTAGCAAAAGAGGCCTCAGTTCCCAAGTAACCACAGCAACCATTATCATTTGAACCCACACTCCAGAGGTGTGGCCTACAGCAAAGCCAGCAGGAGGCCCATGGTGTGCTGCCCAGCAATTCCAGGTCAGCTGAGAGGAGTGACCTGAGATCGTTTGTTCAGGTTTTTCCTTGGCAATACCACCCACCCCCCTTTCTTCTGTTGAGTTACCTGCTTTTGGTGTACTCTTTAAAACTTATTTAATCTGATGTCACAAAGATTTATCCCTGTGTTTTCTTCAAGATATGTTATAGTTTGGGATCTTACATTTAGGCCTGTGGTGAAAGGAAAGTGACTATGACACTCAAAGCGACCAAGAGATCTTTATTGTGGCATTGTCTGATCGACAGGAGAAGGAAGAGAGAGAGAGAGAGAGAGAGAGAGAGAGAGCAGTGCGCTCGCAAAGTGAGTGGGGGAAGGGCCCAGCAGGAGGGAGTTTTTATAGCCAAAATCTAATGGGGTCTCTGGGTCTGCAAGCTGCCTTATGGTACAGTGATTGGATCATACAATAGTTGCTAAGGGTGTCATCTTCTGCCTTCAGCCAAACCAGGCAAAGGCCTGATGTAGGTTTCCGTTGCACCAGACAGGTGGAGGTCAAGTGTTCAGCCTTAAGTGGGGTTGAGTGTTCAGCAGCCCACCCAAGCAATAAGAAACCAGATGGGTGGGGGTCGAGTGTTCAGCCCACCCTGCAGCTAACATGTGGTTCATTGTGATTTGATTTTTCCATATACAGTGTGAGGTAAACACCAAAAGACGTTTTTTAAAATACAGCTGTGTACTTCTTCTTTGTTGGAAAGATTGTGGGTTTTGCCACTGCAGCCAGAGGAGACTTTTAAAACTAAACTCTGTATTTTGAGGTAATTAAAAATTGACTTGCAGTTGTAAGAAATAATACAGAGACCCCCTGTGTCCTTTAGCATCTTGCAGAACTGTACAACAATACCCCAACTGAAGGTGTCAACATTCCCACCATCATCAAGATACCTCACATTTCTCATTTCCTAAGATCTTCAGAGCAGTTTTAGGTTTGCAGCAAGGTGAGGAAAAGGTACAGAGAGCCCTGTGCACCCCTTGTCCCTACGTGTGCATAGCCTCCCCAATGGTTCAGCTCCCAGCAGAGTGTCCTTCTGTCAGGGTCAGTAAGCCTGCACTGCACATGGTCCATAGTTGCCCACAGAGCTCCTTCCAAGAGCTGGGCACTCTGTGACCTTGCAGCACGCAGTGCCATGCAGCACCATGCACTCCACCCACTCATCTCTCCCACTCTGTCAGCCCCTGGCAACCACTAATCTTCCCACGACCCGCTGGCTCTTGACCAACACTGGCCCTGGCAGTTTGCAGCCTCTCCAGCAGCTTTCTTCCTTAGCCATGCCTTGGGTGCCCCACCCATCTTCTTATGCTCCAAGGCCACCACTCTGAGCGCTGAAAGAATGCTCCATTATCAGATGCACCCAGCTTTTCCATTCACCTACCAAAGGACATCCTGGTTGCTTTGGAACTTTGACATTATTAAGAAAGTTTCTGTGAACATCTGTGTGCAGATATCCGTGTGGGTAAGTTTTCAGGTCATCTGGTAATCACCAAGGAGCATGGTGCTTGGCTCTCTAAGAAATGGCCAAATTGCCCCCCACAGTGGCTACACCATTTTGAATCCCTCCACCAGTGAATGAGAGTTCCTACTGTCCCCATCCTCCCCAGTACTGGGTGGTGTCAGAGTTCTGGATTTGGGCCATTCTAACACGGATGCAATGCTCTCCCACTGTCCTTTCAATATGCACTTCCCAGGAAGTGATGTTTGAACTTACAAATCCAGCAACGTTCTTCATCTGCCCCTGGCCACTTCTTCCTGCCCCAGGGTGCCCAGCGTCTTCTCAAGGCCTGTGTCCACCACCACACACCTGCTCCACCTCTGAGGACTCTCCTCTCCTTCCCACCTCAGGACATATCTAGGGGCTGCACATGGGGAAGGTCTGACCTCAGTCCACAGCATCCCTCCCATGTCCCTCAGGGAGCCCTCTGGGCTATGTGCTGTCCCAGTGGGCTGCTGTCTCCTTGTGTCCTGGAGTAACCCTGGTGACACTCATCTGTGCAAACACTGACAGGGATCCCCCATTGTGAGAAGATTTGCCTGTGCTGACAGAAACCTGCAGTGTCACAAAGACTTGGGAGGGGTGGGGTGCTGCTGCTATGTGAGCTACAGAATTCTCCGCTGTGAGATGGATCCAAACAACGCTCCATCAAGCAGATGGTTACTCCTCCTCGTCCTTTGCCACGACTGCTCGTTCTTCTTCTGCACACCTCTCTCTTCAGTTGTGTGGGCAGGGTGGGTGTGCTGGATGCAACCAGGCCTTGCTCCTGGTAGGAAAGTGCTCTAACTCTGGACACACAGCCCTTGCTGTGTAGTGCTCCCGTGAATGTCCATACGGGGGCAGCAGCGTCCTGGAAAGCCATGGGAATGGTCCTGCTACCTGAGTCAGTCCGCCCTACCTGTCACTCCAGACCCTCAGCATCAACCACATGCCCATTCTGCAGAGTTGGGTGCAACTCAGCTCTTGTTGGGACAGTCAGGCATCTGGGACCTAAGAATCAGAACACAGAAGATCTTTCTGTAGGTAGCGCCACCGCTACAAGTTAGAAACAGCTGATCACTGAGGTGGAGTTTCTGCTTCAGAGATGTGCCTAGGTTTCTTCAGCAGTCATAAATGGCTCCCAAGAGGAGAACAGTCCAATGAGGCATCTCCAGCCCCTAAGCCCAGGAGTGCCAAGGACAGCTCCCTGCCCCTGGCTACTTAGTGACCTCAGCTCAACTTCCTGGGGCCCTACCTAGAGGCCTCATTGCCTCTCCCAGCATCCCAGCCCCATGCAGTGACCCAACCCAGCTGGCTCTCCCAGACCAGGCAAAGACAGGTCCCCTGACTGGTGAGGAATCTAATCTCAGCCCTGGCTCCACATATAGCTCCCGATTGAAATGCACAATCTCTTGCACCCTTATATTTTCCAACCTGGTCGTCGAACAAATCATTCAGAACAACAAGCACAAACTACCAAAATCTGCCTCTTAGAGTTCTGTGCATTCATCCCTGACAACTCACAAAATGATAAAATTTCCTATTCTTTATTCTTATTTTTATTTAAAACACTTTACTGAGACATGATTGACAGTTTATTGAGATATGGTATGACAGTTGTGTATATTTAATGCACACAGCTTGCTGTGATTGGGTGGGGATAAGTAAGCACCAATGGAATCATCCCCACCATCAGAGCCATATGCATGTCCCTCTCCTCCAGAAGTGTCCTCCAGAAGTGCCTTCTTAATCATTATTATTGGGGCTTTGTCTGGGTTTTGTTTTCTTTTTTGGAGGAACTGAATGTAAGATCACTGTGTTAGAAATTGTAAGCTTGCAGTATAGTATATAGCTATCAGCAGTGTGCTCTACAGTGATTTCAGAACTGACTTGTCCGTACTACTGAAACAGATCCCATTGGTCATCACCTCCCCACTTCCCCAGCCCTCAGCACTGGAAGCCACCATTCTAGTCCACTCTTCTTTAGTCCATGTATAAATGAAATAAAGCATTGGTTTTTCTGTGCCTGGCTTATTCCAGGTTCGTCAGTGCTGACAGGATTCCCTTTTTTGTCTTCAGGACATGTCTGGGGCACCCTGTGCCTACTGGGAGTAACCAGGAGGACACTTCTCCAGTGGGTAGGGGGCTCTTTCACAGGTTCCCATCCATGGGAAGGTCTTGGGACATGTGGAATCCAGTGGAGGCTACCCTTTAGCCCCACACCCTCTTCTGGGTTATGTCTTGGAGTCTCTCCTGTTTGGGTTCAAATTCCCATGGGAAGAGAGGCTGCCAACCTCTGGACACTCAGGGATGTGTGTCTGAGGCAAGACAGACCCCAATGGTCACTTTGGCATCTCCAGGTCCTGACCAACTCTGGCATAGTTGTCAGACCCCAGCCTGTCAGCAAGGCCCGCTCCATGACAGTCACTGGGCTGAACTATGCCCCCAAATTCCTATGATGAAGTCTCAACCACCCTTGAGAGCAAACAAAGCCTGGACACACACAGCAAGAATTCCTGAAATACCAAAGTGCTCAAGAAGTCTTTGAGGAAAAGCCTTCAGCACCCACTCAGAGATGAACTCAAGAATGAATAGGCACAGAAGCCTTTGGACATCACAAACTCACAATTCCCAGTGCAGAACATGCTACCTGCCCCCAAAACATACATGTGGACAGAAGAAACGAGCAATGAGCAAGAGAACCTGAAACAACCTCCCTTTCTGGCCACCAGGCCACAAGCAGCTCCACGCCCCCTTCCTATAAATTCCCCAGCTACCACCTGATAGGAGAGGCAGATCAGTTGAGCTTTTTGCTCCTGGTCTCTCTGCCAGTCAATCTTGCAATGAAGTCCTTCTTTCTGCAAGAACCAGTGCCATGGTAGGAGCCTATGTGCACATTGTGCTAAGCCCTTGTTCAGTGTCACCAGTACCTGAGAGAGTGGCTCTTTGGAGACAGTGCTCCTGGAGCGTCAGCATAGAAACAGAACCAGCAGGACATATATGAGGATATTTTTTTATGACAATGTGCTCAGACAGTTATGGAGGCAGATAGGTCTTACCACCTGCTGGCTGCAAGCCAGAGACTAGGACAACAGGTGATACCTCTGAACCAGGAGGTCTGCTGGAGTAAGACCCCAGAGTACAAATGTAGCACAGGATATAGAACAGGAGCTTGGGTGTCCCAGGTTACCAGATGGTTAAAATATCAAGTAAAGAGAGCTTTGCCTTCCCACTGTCCTGGGTTCTATTAAGCCTTTAGCAAATTGGATGGGTGTCTGCCACATTGGTGA